GAAAGCTTCTCTGCATAGCCCAAGGACATGGTCACTCTGATGCTTCGTATACCACCATCGCCCTGTACCTCTCTCTCTCTCTTCGTTTTTCGTTTTTTGTTAATCACATTCAAAGGCAACAACAGAGCAGCAGAACCACAACAACCTTAGCACCCAAGACCAAGACACCAACCCTCGAACCCAAGACCAAGAGGGGTGCTGCAGGAGTACTTCACCATCAGGGTGGGAAGAGGGTCGGTTCCCCCTTCTCCTTTTTTTTGTTTTTTGTTTTTTTGTTTTTCCTCCTTTTTCTTTCCGTCCCCCCGTTCCTTTTTTTTTTCTTCCAGAAAGCTCTCCCTTTCTAATTGGTCCCTCCCTCCTTTCTTAAACTCCCTTAACCTTTAACCCACATGTGAGAATTACATCATTCCCATAATCTATAGTTCACAACTTCAACGTCCATAACTATACCGTTATAACTCGGACTTGCAAACGGCTTTCGCCTATGCGCTCGTGGCTTTGAAACCTATTCGAAAACGTTACTTGTGATCTCAAATGATCAACGAATTTTTCATAATTACTTTCCAAACTTCAAACTTCGTAACTAATTTAATTAAAATCTAAATCCAAATAAATTAATATAATTTCTCAAAAATAATATAAAATCTCAATAATACAAATATGTAGATTATAATAATGAAATCCAGGAAAGAGATTTCACAATTCAAGTACATTAATAATATTGTACTAATTAATCAATAGCTATTCAATCTAAAATATTTTAATTGAATTAATTTGTCATACTAATTAATATTTAAGATAAAGTTTATAAATATTTTTCTTTTAAAAATAAAGAATATTTAGTAATTCACCTTTATTTGTTAAGAAAATTAAATTAATAGCACATCTAATATTATACTTTTTTTTGTCATTTCACACAGTCACAGCTGTTTTACATAAAAGTTTATCAAACACTATCATACTGCTTTTTTTTCCAAAAGCACTTTTACAAAAAAGTTTACCAAACACTCTGATACTTTATTTCACAGCCGCTTATTCTCACAACACAGCAGAATCAACTTTTTTTTCAAAGCATAGCAATACCAAATCAGCCCTTAAAGTTGTCATTCCCATCCCTCCCCAGCCACCCCAACCCAATCAAAGCTGCCAAAGTCCCCCACAACGTGACGACTTCTCTCTCCCTCTTTCACATCTTCCTTTTTCTTTCTTTCTCCCCCACTCTCCGATCGACCCTCCCCTCTGCGCACGCGCCCATCTTCCCTTCCCTAGCACCCCACTTTCTTCCACGACCCCCCACTCGCAATTTCTAGTTTTGATTTTCAAGATATTTTTTTTTTGTTTAGACATTGCCAGTAATCCCATAGCTATAGAGATACCACAGTTTTATGTAATCTTCCTTATCTATGCATAATCTGGTCTGATAAGTCAGAAAGACCAAATCAATAAGATTCATAACAAAATGAGATTAAAATTTTATTCACATACTGGCATCACACCTCTTGTTCCATTAACCATGGTCAAAACTGAGAGAAGATGAGACCAAGTTTGAGGGAGAATCGGTTCTTCGATTACGATCCAAAAGATCAAAAGCAGTGGAAGGAACTAGAGAGTCGACAGATCCTAAAAGCCAGAATAAAAAAAACTTTTGCTTTGGGGTGGAAAAAAAAAACCGAAAATTTCAAACCGAACCGAAAAAATCCCGAAACCGAACCAAAAATCTTGAAAAGTTTGGTACCCAATACCGAACTGATCCCAAAAATTCGGTATGGGAATCGGTCTCACATTTGCATTCGTTCGGTAATCCCGAACCAAACCGAAATAAAAACTATATATATATTATTTAATTTTAAATATATATTTGCTGCCTTTGTTAATTTATATGGTTATGTTTGCTGTCTTTGTTTGCTATGAAAAATTACTTTATATTTGAAACATATGATCTATAGCAGGCTGGGTTATTTAATGGTTGTTAGCACTTTGATTGGGAAGATCTGGATGAACCAGATAACATACTTCAAACTGCGATGAATATGTTACCCAAGGTTCTAAAAAACGCTAGGCGCTAGTCGGGCGGCTGGTTGGTGCCTAGCGCCTAGGCGGATTTTGGTAATTTTCTTGTATATTTTGTAAATAAGTGCATATTGACACTTACAAAAAATTATACTTGTATGAAATCCATGGATAAGATAATAAAAAAAATGATAAAATGCAAAAAGAGTATCCAACAAGTCCAAAATTTAAAAACACATTAAGCATATATGCCATATAACCATAGTGAGGAGTATTGTAGGATGACAAATGTACAACAAGTTCACAATTTTAAACCACTTAGACTTAGATAGGATTTTTTATTTTATTTTAATTTCATTATAAAAAAAAAAACTGCCTAGCTCCGCCTAGCCCTGCCTAGCCCCGCCTAGCCCCGCCTAGCCCCGCCTACCCCGCCTAGCCCACCTAGCCAGCCTAGGCGGCCGCCTAGAGCCAATCCGATTTTTCCAACCGATTTGCAAGAAAACGCCTCGGCTCACCACTGTCTAGCGCCTAGGCGGCCGCCTAGGCCGTTTTTTAGAACAGTGATGTTACCGCAATAGCTTTAAATTGTTTGGTTTATCAATTTGTAGGTGATAGATGAGCTTCTTAATGTGTTTGCAGTGAGCCTTCCGTTAGTGATAGAGAATGAACTTGGGAGTTATAGGATATGAGGGCAGCTAAATTATGGGAGGTGGTGGTTCATAACCATGATCAACAGATTGTTAGGTCATAAAGAGATGGGTTATGGGTTGCAGGTGACCTATAAATGGAGAGGTCGAGTTTTGACTGTTGTGGAGGCAGATGATAGTTCTAACTCTCAAAGTAGGCAATTCAATTGTAAATCTTATTTCACTTAGCCAAATCTGCATTAAGGAGAGATTAAACCAAAGATTAATCCGAGGCGTAGAAATAATTTTGGGATTCCCGATTTGTCCCGAAATCCCGAAACTATTTCGGGATTCCTGAAAATTTGGTTTGTGATCGGTATTGAAATTGGGATTCCCAAAAACTTCGATTTGGGAATCAGAACAAGGGTTTCGGTTCGGTATCCCATACCGAACCAGCCCTTGCCTATTTCTTTCTATTTACTCAAGTTTATTGTTTTCAGAATTTTGATCATTCTTAAAAATAATAACTTGATATAATCCACGTGTTGCTATTTAATAGGGTATATGGGTCCATAAATGTGTCATATCAACACACTAACATATTATTTGATATAATACTAATGGAATAACTACATTGATTTGCAGCACCCATATTTAGGGACGACATTGATGAATTTTCAATTTCAGGGACCATCTTGATGGGGTGGGCCAATTCTAAGGACCTTTTGTGATAAAAATCCTTTTTAATATTAAATAAATAAGGCCTTTTTTTATTGGCACCCCACAATGTTATGAATACACCCCATGTTCTTTTATTTAGTCTGAATTTCCTTTTCTACCCTAATTTAAATTAAATAAAAACAAACAAACAAAACCAGCACCACCTTCATCATCCTAAAACCTACTCCTTCTCGACAGCCCCCCACCATGACACCTCCATTAACAAAATGATCTCAAATATACCAAAACATATGCTGACTTACAATTAAACTAGCCAATAGTCTAATCGAAAGTCAATTCCTAGTTGACAGAAGGATTGCTTCTCTGCAAGTAGCATTTTTCAAATTTTCCACGACCATCAAGTTGGTATCCCTGATTAGGCCGATATCGACATTATAAAATTCAATTTTATGGTATTTCATGTCCTGCAAAATATTAGCGGAAGTGAGAATTCTAGAGAGAGAGAGAACAGCGGGAAAGGGGGTGGCTATCATTGGCCGACACCGACGAGGAAGGTGGCAGAAGGGTGAGCGGTTGAGATAGGATGTTAGAAGGTTTTAATTTCTTAACTATTATAAAAAAAGTGGTCTTAAACAATGAAAGGGTTAATATTGGAATTTTAAAGAATAATTTTGAAGTTGGGGTGTATTCATAAAATTATGGGGTGTTAATAAAAACATTCTAAATAAATTATAATTATTTGATTGCTAGTGGGGAGTTAAGTTTGTTTGTCGTTATTTGTTATTAGTATGGAATTAAGTGGTCTTTTAACCTTTCACCTATTGTAACTCTTTTAGATCTTATTATTGTTAATTATAGGTTTATTACCCTATTCACTTAAGGGATAATAAACAGGGAACTTTAACAAAAAGCTCTCAGTACTATTCACTTTAACAAAAAACCATATTTTTACACTAAAAAGTTAATCATAGTACTATTCACTTTACCATTTATTTTTTCCTTATCGTTAAAACTCAAAGTTTTCAAACATTTTTATTTAGTTTTCTTAATAAACAATAATTAGTAGCATTTTCCCCATCATATTTTATTTATCATCCCACTAGCATTTTCCTCTACATCTTTTGTACTTCATGCCTCCATCTTTTCCATCTTTTACTTATTGGCCACTGAAGGGTGTGGGTGTTTTTGTGGACTCTTCCTTTTTGTGCAACTAGGTTTTAGTCACATGACAATTCAGTTGGACTGTTATATTTTGGAGAGGGCAAGTTAGATATATATTGCTGCACCAATTCAAAAACTTTTGTCAAACCACAGTGGGCTTGAATCTATGAAAAAAGAGTGAGATACCAATGTCTCAACCTAATGTCTAGGCGATTCAATATCATAATTTTATTGTAATGTTTTGGGTTTCACTGGGAATTAGTCCTATCCTTCGGACTTGATCAATTTGAAATATCAATTTTCATCATTTGAGCAGAGAAGAATAAAACAAGTCAAATCCGGAAATGCTTGAGAAAAGAAAACCGTAGAAAGGGGACATAAGCTTGAGGTTTTCAATAACAAATGCTCTTATACCTAGAAATTTCTAGGAACATAAGTTTGGTATAAATTCATAATATATATATATATCGATATCTCACAATAGAACATTATCGCAAAACATGCAATTTTTGAGAAATATTTTTGGGCTTAAGTTGGTATTAATTATTACAAGTGAAGTATTCCAAGGAATTTGATAGCAGCATTGTTCTACTCATAGAGTGCTGGATCTGATAACCTTGGAGTTGGGATGGCAATCAAAGGTATCTTCTTCTTCAACACAATCCCAAACTTCTCAGAAAGATCCAACTTCTCTCCCTCTGGCAATTTCCAATCAAAAGAATGCAAAAGCGTAGCAAGTGAATGCATCACCATCCTCTCAGCCATTGCAATTCCAGCACATATTCTTCTGCCTGACCCAAATGGAAAATAGTTGAAGTCTTTCCCACTATAGTCCCATTTGCTATCCAAGAACCGCTCTGGATTGAACTCCAACGGGTTTTCCCAAATCGAAGGGTCTCTGTGTATGGCCCAAACATTGATGAAAAGCCGAGATCTTTTTGGAATGGTGTACTCTCCCACAATGCATGTTTCACTTGGGCAATGAGGGACTAACAGAGGCAGGGCTGGGTGCAAGCACAGAGTTTCTTTCGTCACAGCTTGTAAGTATGGCAATTTGTCGATGTGGGATTCTTCTACAATGTTGTGTTTGCCAACTACGTCTTCTAACTCTTACTGGGCTTTTTCCATCATCTCTGGTTTGCTCATGATTTCAGCCATTGCAAACTCAGTTGTGTTGGAGGAAGTGTCAGTCCCACCTACCACCATATCATGTCCATAGAAAGTTGTGTTACTGTACAAATTGGCTCTCTGGAAACCAGGGAAAACAAATCCTCATGTGGAAAGTAACTTTCATACAGGTAGGAGGTTAGGTACTTTGTACAAGAGTTTCCATTAGCTAAAAGTGAAACTTGAAACCTAAAATCTAAGCGATTAGCCGCCAATGTAAGGCTAAAACTTAATGTACCTTGTAAAACAATCAACCATGTCAATAAGTGAGATTGAATTTGAGATTAAGGTTGTCTCAATGCATCATGTTTCAAGGAAAGACATAACCTCATGCACACAAAAACATTGAATGAAAACTTACGAATTTGGTGATCAAACTATTCGACGGTTTTGCCACTTAATACTACACTATAAGGGTATTCCTCTTTATTTGTAAGTGAGAGGTCTTAGGTCATAGGCGGAGCCAATTAAAGCCTAGAATGGTCAGCTGACCCTCCTCACCGTTTGCCAAGTTTGTAATCATTTATTGTCTTTAGACTTATTTGGCATCATATAAAACCCGACCCTTCTCACAAATAAATTTCTTCAGTACATTATCTATATTCCTCCAACTAAATGAAACCTGATTTGTCAAGATATATGGATCATGGACATCATATGGTATGTTTATATCATTCCAAACTCAGAACCATAAATTAAAATGTAAAATATAATTCAAATGATGATACTTGCATTCCCCTTTAGAGATGAGTTCATCTATGCACTTGCAAATAATGTATCTTCAAAACAAAAATTTCACAATCGAAGCCGTTCAACCTCTTAATTTCATTTGAAGATCATCCCGTCAAAAAATCATATGAATTAGTGATTGTTTAGTCATCTAAACATATCAAACAAATTAACGGTGTATGTATCAAGTAACATAATCATGATGAACTTTTGATCCTACAGACGAAGTCTTGTGATCACATTCTCCATCTCCTAAAGTTTTCCTGAACTAACGAAGAAAACTGACCTTCCTCAACAAAAATTATGGCTTTTCTACTATTTTAGGTTTGATTCTCACCAAAGGCGAATTTGAACCACATTATTGCTAGCCCAATGTGAGTAAGCTCATCCCCTCTCATTTAGTGTAGATAATATAATTTGTTTAAAAAAATAAAAAAGCTACTTAGTATTATGGTCTAGTAGTCTTCATTTTCACTTGTAAGTGAGAGATCTTGGATTCGATTATCGCCAAAGGCGAATTTAAACAACATTATTGCTAGCCCATTGTGAGGCTAAACCCATCCACTTTCCTTAATGTAAATAATATCATTTGTTTACATAAAAAAAAACTATTGGATGGTTTTAGAATTCCCTTTTTCTTCATAAACTCGGTATACGGTACTCGAGTTTATCCACAAACTTGTCATGTTCAAACCTTTTTGAAAAGAAGAAAGCATGATGTAGGTAAAAATAAATGGATGAGATGAAAGATGAGTTTGGAAGGGACAACAACATTGTAAGTACAAACATGAATATAGACGAAACAACAAAACCATTTCAGGCCAATCATGTACAAACAATAAAACCATGGAGACTCTCATGGTAGGAATGGGGAAAATACCCGCGAATATAGGTAATCGCAGTTACCTGCCCATTTAAAACTCTCGATTACGGTTATAGGTAACCGTTTAAATAAACAAATGGTCATTGGTATAACCGTTTACCCGTTCACTTTTGAAATTCTGCAAAGTGGAACTAACTGAATCAAATCTCCTGGAGAAGACCTATTCCACCTTCCATGCCATCAATAATGTTCTACAGTAACAATATAGGGCACAAAAATTCACCAAGTTTTCGTATTTGATCTCTGTTTTACTTCTCATTGACAAGCAGAACCAACTTTTGATGAAGAATCATCAATTGCGACCCACTGGCTCGAACGCTGCGCCTAAAGCGCATACGATTAATTCTAGTAGCCATAAACAATGAAAGAATCGTCGTAATCGTGGCAATAGGCGGCAAGCCCTACCATAGGCCCAAGGTCAACATAGTCCACCACTTGCCGGCCCCAAATTTCAAGAACAAGGGCAAAGCTCCCGTTCAGCCCGCTTTTACTGAACTGGACATGTGCTATCGTTGTGGATCAAAGGAGCATTGGTCACGCATATGCCGAGCTTCCCCTAAGGCTATTGCCAAGTATCATTCCCGTCGTGAGTTTAACTTTGCACATGTGGATCATCCAGATGATGCAACTACATCAATGGAGATATCGGATTTTTAGGAGGCGTCAGGTTCTATGGATGTATAAATTAGACATGTTTTTAGGGTGTTTACCCCTAGTGGCCGAACCCACTAAGAGTGGCCGGCCCTACCCCCTATTTTTCTAGGTTTATGGTTTAATTTTAAACAATTTTTCTAAGTATTTGGAATAATTTGTTTGGTTTTGGTTTGTTTTGAATTATGAATTGTTATTGGAATGGATATTATTTTCTCGAATTGCTTAATTGAATGAATGGACTTATATTTATACATGTGACCAATTCAATTAATTTATTTCTAGGTATGTCTAGTGGGGAAGTTAGTTGTCTGGCAGATAGTGCAACCACACACCATCTTGCGTGAATGACACTATTTTACGAACTTAATACCCAAGAAAGCTCCTTTGACAACTCTCTCAGGCTCATCCAACCTAATTGAAGGATACGGAAAGGCACGTATCATGTTGTCTAATGGTACAATCTTAACCATTAAGGAGACACTCTATTCACCACGTTCTGGAAGAAAGTTGCTGAGTTTTAGAGATATTCAAGATAATCAATATCATATTGAAACCACCAAAGATAATGGTTCTGAATTTCTTTGTATCACTTCATACGAATATGACCAGAAGCGTATTCACGAGAAGTTGGAACATCTGCCGAGTGGGTTGTACATCACATCTTTGACACTTTGTTGCTTTGGCATGACCGTTTGGGACATCCTGGACGTGACATGATGCGCTGTATCCTCAAATCTTCACACGGGCATAAATTATATCCCTATGTTGGACTCCCACCATGCAAATCGTGTTCTTTAGGGAAGTTGAATACTCAACCCTCATATACAAAGATTATTCACGACCCCCTAAGTTTCTTTAGAGGATTCAAGGGGACATTTGTGGACCTATCCAACCAACATGCAAACCATTTAGATACTTTATGGTGTTGGTTGATGCATCGACAAGATGGTCACATGTTTGCTTGTTGTCCACACGCAACGCCACGTTTACTAAACTGCTAGCTCAAATCATTAAACTAAGGGTTCACCACCCTGATTATCCGATTAAGTCGATTCAACTGGATAACGCTGGAGAGTTTACGTCATAGACTTTTGATGATTATTGCATGTCAGTAGGGATTGGTGTGGAACATCATGTACATCATGTTCACACCCAAAACGGCTTGGCATAAGCTTTCATAGAGTGCCTTCAATTGATAGCTCGGACTTTGGTTAAGAGAACCAAACTACAGGTATCTGCTTGGGGCTATGGAATATTGCACGTAGCTATGTTGATCCGCCTGAGGCCCACTGCTACTCAACCACATTCAACGTTATAGTTGGTCACTGGATACGAGCCTGACGTTTCGCATTTACAGGTGTTTTGGTGCGCCATTTATGTGCAAATAACGATGCCGCTACGTACCAAAATGGGTCCTCAGAGAAAAATAGGAATCTATGTCGGTTATGATTCGCCATCAATTGTTCGCTACTTAGAACCCTTGATAGGAGATCTTTTTATAGCACATTTTGTAGATTGTCACTTTGATGAGACAGTCTTCATGTCGTTAGGGGAAGATAAGCATGCTAATGTTCCCGTAGAATGCCACGAATTGTCGTGGTATACTCCCACCATGTCTCATTTAGATCCTTGCACTGCCCAGTCTGAAACTGAGGTGTGACGAATTATAGATCTTCATAGCATTGCTCAAAGCATGCTGGATACTTTTAATGATCTAGCAAAGGTGACAAGATCACATATACCCACTGCAAATACACCTGCAAGGATAGATGTACCCCGTGTACGTTAACAACTCGCCTGGGAAGGCCAGACCGTCCCTGAAGGTGAAGAGGCCGCACCCTCCACATGGCAAGGTACATTGGCGGCTAGTCAATCATCTGCTCTGACCTTGAAGCGTGGCAAACCCCTTGGTTCAAAGGATTCACAACCCCAGAAGAGGAAAATGGCACCAACTAGTGACCCTAGTTTGAATCCGACCATCACTCACTCATTCGTTCCAACGCATGAGGTTATTCTAGATTACTGTGATGCTTCAGACGAAACATGTCGACCTCCCGAGAATCGTGAGATTTTGATCCACTACGCAGTATTGGATGAGGTTTGGAATAGGAATGAGATGATCATCAGCGATACATTCGCGTACTCAGTAGCTACTGACATCATGCTTAGCGATGACATTGAACCACGTTCTATCGATGAATGCCGACGTAGAATTGATTGGTCAAATTGGAAATAAGCAATCCAAGTCAAACTCGATTCGCTCGCAAAACGTAAGGTGTTTGGACCTATCATTCCTACACCACTATGTGTGAAGCCTGTTGGCTACAAATGGGTGAGGCAGTGTAATGAGAAGAATGAAATAGTGCGATACAAAGCATGCCTCGTAGCGCAAAGTTTCTCTCAGCGCCCTGGGATTGATTACGAGGCGACGAATTCCCCTGTAATGGACGTTATAACGTTTTGCTACCTAATCAGTTTGGTAGTTTTCGAAAAACTGAATATGCAGCTTATGGTTGTGGTAATCGCGTATCTTTATGGGGATCTAGATACTGAAATTTACATGAAAGTTCCAGAAGGATTTCCATTGACTGGTTCAAATAGTTCTAGACCGCGGAATACTCTTTCAATTAGGTTGATGAGGTCACTCTACGGATTGAAACAATCTGGGCAGATATGGTATAACCGTCTGAGTGAATATTTGACAAGTCAGGGTTATGTGAACAACGAATTATGCCCATGCATGTTCATAAAGGAGTCATATTTTAGATTTGCAATCGTTGCAGTTTATGTCGATGACATGAACCTCATTGGGACTCCCGCAAAGCTTGAGGAAAGTGCTGCACACTTGAAAATGAAATTTGAGATGAAAGATCTTGGGAAAATTCGACACTGTCTCGGCCTGAAGATCAAGCATTGTTCGGATTGAATCCTAGTACATCAATCGAACTACACCCAAAAGATGTTGCGTCGTTTTAATAAGGATAAAGCCAAGCCTTTGAGTACACCCATGGTCGTTTGGACTCTAAATGCTAAACGAGATCCCTTCCGTCCAAAGGAGGATGAGGAAGAGATTTTGGAACCCGAAGTTCCTTACCTAAGTGCAATTGAGGCTTTATTGTACTTGGCTCAGTGCACTAGACCTGACATTTCCTTCGCTGTGAAACTTTTGGCAAGATACAGCAATGCGCCCACACGTAGGCACTGGAATGGTGTTAAAGACATTTTCCGCTACCTCAAGGATACAATGGATTTGGGCTTGTTCTATACTCACAAATATCCGAGTGTTGCCGCCCCCTATGGTCTTCAGATTGATTCTCACCTTGTTGGTTACGCAGATGCTGGATATCTGTCTGAAACACATAGAGCACGTTCTCAAATAGATTATGTCTTTACCGTTGGAGACACCACTATATCTTGGAGGTCTACCAAGCAAACACTAGTTGCGACTTCGTCGAACCATGCTGAGATTCTTGCCCTGCATGAAGCATTGCGTGAGTGCTTTTGGCTGAGAGAAGTTATGAGTCATATTTGAAGCACTAGTGGTCTTACATCAGTCGTTGACCTTCCTACAACGATCTTTGAAGACAATGCAGCATGTATCGAGTAGTTGAAAAAGGGATACATCAAGGGAGACAACACCAAGCACATAGCGCCGAAGTTCTTTTACTTACACCAGCAACAGTAGCATTAGAACATTGAAGTTAAGCAAATTCGTTCCCAGGAAAACTTGGCCGATCTTTTCACCAAGGCATTGCCCAAGTCTATTTTTTTCAGAAGCTCGTCTAAGGAATCGGTATGCGTAAATTATCTGAGTTGAATCGCTTGTAGTTCTCTTATTTAGAAGTTATGTCTAACTCAGGGGGAGTATCTAGAAGCATACTCACATGATCCTAATGTACTCTTTTTCCTACGATTAGGAGCATTTTTCCCACTAGGTTTTTGATACCTAATGAGGTTTTAATGAGGCACCCATCCTGGGATGATCATACTTCGTTGAGTTCACTACTTTCGTCCAGTTTGAAGTTTGTTTTAGACATTATGCATACTTCTCACATTTCTCCTTAGTCTATGGGTTTTTCCCATGCCTTGGGTTTTACCATAACAAGGTTTTGTGAGTCTTACTACAAATGCACACTTCACTTAAATTTGAGACTCGTGACCACCCGTTGTGCCGATGACTTCATCAACTATTCTACCTTATCTGCTGAAGATATGATGCGATGGTTTGTTGAGTATTTACACACTCAAGGGGGAGTGTTGCAGTCATATTTAGAATATGAATGTGATTGTGTAAATCCTAGTAGATATGGGAATGTATCTTATATTCCTATTAGGAGTAGATCACCTATTAAATGTTGTAATCCTATAAGGAAAGGTTTTTACCTATTCTATTACTATAAATAAAGGCACAATGGGGTGAATCAAACACACCTCACAATTAAATCACTTTGTCTTCGCCCTCAATATTGCTGGCCCATTCTCTCTCTTTAAACCCTAGATCGTTCAATCAAATAGGCTTACAACAATATAGGAATTCTTTAACAAGAGGGATCTCTATTTTTCTAAAAAAATGGGGACACCCTCTTGACCGTTGGATTTAACTTTAATGAAATTGTGTGGTTGAGATTGTATGGTCTGTGATTTAATCTCAACCACACAATTTCATTAAAGTCAATCTAACGGTTAAGAGTGTTCCCATTTTTTTAGAAAAATGGGGATAAATATTAAATTAAACTTAGAAAATTTGGAAAAGAAGGTAATGTATTTTTATATGGTACAATACTATTGTTTTATTTCTTTTCCGAATAATTTTGGTAAACTCTCATAATTTGAATGATTTATAATGTTTGGTTTTTCTATACTTAATTTATGAGGAACATAGTTCTGATGTGGAAAATCTTACCGAAAACATCATCAACATAACTCTCGAAGGCAATAGATCAAGCCAAAGTTCCAATACAACCCCATGATGATTGAGGAAAATTGAAGAATTTTGTAAAAGGAATCCCTATAATCCTTAGGAGAAGGATCCAGCTAGGATCCTTTTCCATTATTTGTTATTAGTAAGGAATTAATTGGAATCTTTTAACCTTTCATCTATTGTAACTCTTGTAACTCTCTTTATTGTTAATTATAAGTTTATTACCCTATTCACTAATGTGTGATAATAAACTTATAATTAGTAGCATTTTCTCCATCATATTTTTATTTATTATCCCACTACCATTTTTCTATGGTGTCAATGCATTTATCCTATAGCATTTTGGAGGATTGAGTTTATTTAACTCTTAATAAAATATGTAGCTCATTTTGAGTGGAATGTTATAATTACATGAACATCCTTGACAGAGTTTACCTATGAGTGAGAGTGAGGCCGTTGTTCAATAAAATTTAGGCTTGCTCTCAAATAGACTCATGAAAACCGGAATTAGCATGAGGTCGTAACATGCTAGCTATTAAAACTCAAATTAATACCTGGGTTATTATGTATGAGTAGTGATTCTTATTTTCCCACAAGCAATTGTAGTACAAGTCTGAGAGCACTATCAATTTTGGAGTAGGAATTATTGTTTCACTAATGGAGGTTTAATGCAGAGTCACCTTCATGATGCATGATGATTCGTCTTTAGCTAGTATTTTTTCCCCTTCTTTTCTCCTAAATTAATATTAAAAATGAGTGGGAATGTTGGTGCATTTAATATTAGTGGGAAATTAAGTTTATTTGTCATTTGTTATTAGTGGGGAATTAAGTGGAGTCTTTTAACCTTTAACTCTTGTAACTCTTTTTGTTGTTAATTCTAGGTTTATTAGCCTATTCACTAAGGGTGACAATAAACCTATAATTAGTAGCATTTCTCAATCATATTTTTATTTATCATCCAACTAATAATTTCCTCTACAACTATTATTCTTCATTCCTCCTTTTCCATCTTTTACTTATTGGTCTAAGAAGAGTCTCCTTGTGGTGTAGCTTTAGTCTCAAAATTTATATCTTTTCTTCACTAAAAGTTATATATATATATATATATATATATATTTTTTTTTTTTTTTGTGCAGCTAGGTGTTAGTCACATGATGATTAGTTGGACTGTTATATCCTAGAGGGGGCAAGTCAAAGTATATATTGCTAAACCGGTTCGTGAACTATTGTCAAACCGCAGTGAGCTTGAATCTCCTTATAAATAGTGAGATACCTGCGCCTTAACCTAATGTCTACACGCTTCTTAGAACAATATCACAATTTTTTGTAATTTTTCCAATAATAATTCAATAAACCGTTACTAAACAAGTTTTAGTGAAGAAAAAAAAAAGGAAAATTTTATTTAAACCCATATAACCTATTTCTACACCCAACTTACTCTTTGCACCCATTTGATTTTTAACTAAACTATTAATATCTCTTTAAACCCAAATTTAATACCTAATATATCCTCATAAACCCAATTCAATATGTGGATTTATTTTTACACCCCTTTCTTCAACAATATACCATCATATTTACTGAATGCAGCAATGGAAGCTTCAAGCGCTTTAGCCCAATTCTTTGAGGTGACAACTGATTGGGCGCTTGCTTTCAATTGAGCGTAGGCTGACTTACAAATATATCATACCTGTTTCAAGAATAGAGATGTAAAATTCTTGTAAGGGTAAATGCAGGGAAACTTCAAAAATTCCATCTAACTTTATTGAAGAAAAGGGGAAGTTGAATACAGGATCCCACTTGTGCCCCCCCATAACTCTTTTGATAGATGATCCAATTTCGTTGACTGTTTCGGTTGCATCATTCAGAGGATAATTGCAATACAATATTGTTGTTATGAACTAAACATCGAAAAGATAAAATCAAAACTGGAAAGATGAACGAGATCAAACTGTGAAGTATTGTGATTATCTTGTTGGCAAATCAGGATCACTGTAGTTTACAAGCCCGGTACTACCACACTGATGTCCCCCTCGAGCAGTCGACAAAAGAAATTGGGCATCAACCGAACAAAAAATTCATAAAGTGAGTCATATCTTGGTTGGAGGATTCAAAACTTCAAAATCACTATCTATCAATAAAAAAAAATTGTTTTTCTCTATGAGAGTTATTAGGGTTTTAGCCATTATGAACGTAGGATAAACAAAGAGTGATAGTAGGGTTTAATTATAGTGTTTGGGTTTATTGATAAATTTGAGTTTTATTATTAATTTCATTTTGTACTTAATAGTAATTATGCAATAGGGTAAAATAGACAATTAACATTTAAAATTTAAGTGGGGTGTAAAAAGAGGTTAAATGGGTTTAAATAAAATTTCTCAAAAAAAAAATATGTGAAAAGTAAAACTATGCCACAAATTCAAAGTAAGTCAAACATTTACTTACCATGAGCAAGGCTTTGAGATGAGTCATGGTGAAAGGCGTCTTGGAATCTCCTCCTTCCTTCTTTAATTTCAACAAAAACGTCAAAAAATCCTTATTCCCCTCCTCCCCTTCCTTGTCAATCCTCAGCCGTTGATCTATTATCTTCTCAAATATCCCATCAAACCTCCGGGCCTACCATCCCATCTTCTTCACCACCCCTTGCAAATCAAACCTGGCCAAACCCGGATAAAAGTCCGAAACATTCGGCTTCCCCAAAAGCTCCGTCATCTCCGACACCACTTCCCGAAACTCCGCCCCGAGCCCCGCCTTCTCGTCTCCCTGCATGATCCCACCCCACAGCATGTTCGTAATAACATTCATCACGTTCAGGAACATTTGCTCCCCCACGTTGATCGGCGATCCGATCCGATCGTAGAAGTACCGGACGGTCCGTCGGAGCTGTTTCTCCTGGAGCGCGTACACCGAGTCAAGAGTGGTGTTGCTGAGCATTTTCAGCACGTAAACTTTCCTCAGCATCCGCCACTCCGGTCCGTACGGGGTTCACACGATGTTGAATCCCCTGTACGACGCGACCCGACCCGCGGAGGGGACGTCGCGGTTGGCGAAGGTGATGTCTTGGTCCTTGAGAATCTCGCGAGCTGAGGAAGGGGAGGTGACTACAACGCCGACGATGTTGCCGAGGCGGAGCTTGAAGATGGGGCCGTATGATTGAGCCAGGCCGGCGAAGTAGGAGTGGAGTTCTGGGTCGAGGGAGAGGAGGTTCCCGAGCAAGGGCAGGGCCCGTGGGCCGGGTGGCAGCGGAGGGTTCGGGTTGTTGGATTTTTTGACCAGCCAGAGGTACAGAAAGACGAGGAAAATGGCGGAGATGAAGGTCGGCAAAGTTTGGTCAGTACTTGATTGGTGGGATTGAGACCAGAGGGAGTACAGGTAGCTGGAATGGGAATCAGATGCCACTGCTGTGCACTGGGTGCAGTGTTAGGGAACGGCAATTGATTGGGAGCCATAATTATATAACTAGGACATGCTCCAAAAATGTTTTGTTTTATTATTACTGTTGTTCAACATGTTTGATTGTAATTGCAAGTTTATGTGTATTGACATTCAGTGTGGTAGCTTTGGTTCCTCGCCAAGAGGTGGGACTCAATTCTCACACTCTCATGACTCTTTATGTATGGTGAATTTCGACTTTATCTTCACTCTTATAACTCTTTATGTACGATGAATTTTCAAACCTAACACGTGGACAATACAAACGGGGTGACGTGAAACACATGTGGCCATTGAGTTTCACACGTGGGTGTAAACACGAAAATTCCGTATCGAATGAGACAAGAACACATGTACAAAGTAGATTTGAATTGATATGAATTTGTGGGTTACAATCTCTGTTTACAACTTTTCCCCTTATTAAGTCTTAAAATTTGATGTAGATGCGTGATTGTTGATCCAAGGATTGCGATGACTTGATCTCGGATGAACGGTTGAACGATTGCTTCAAGTTTTGAGCTTGAAAACAACACGTGGATGATCTTCACCTCAAAGGGTGCGGCAAGGGTAGTGTTTGATGCGGGATTTCGTTGCTTCAAGGGTCTTGGCGACTTGATCTTGAAATGAACGTTGCTACAAGTTTATAAGCTTGCAACAAAGTCTTAAAGGAATCAGTACGAGCGCTTGTTGATTCTTCAAGGAAGTGCTTCGACTTTGGTCAAGAGAAAGCTTCAGCTTTGGTTAAATGTTCTTCGAAGAGAGCTTTGGCAGTGTATTAGTCTTCAAAGGTTTGGCAGAGTTTATTCTGTGTAGAGATTTTTCGACCCTTATGCTTGTGGGAGGACCTTGTATTTATAGGCTTCTTAAGGCTTGCCTTTGGGTGGATTTGGCTTTGATTTATGTCCTAATTCATCCATGGGAGAATTTAGGCATGTTTTGTGTCTTAATTCCCTTGCTTGGCCCAATTTAAGAGCCCTTGTTGCCTATTTTGTGAGCAATCTTCAATTCTTGCTTGTTTTATGAAGATGCTTTAGCTTTCTTTCCAGTTTTAGGATCAATTTGGATTCCCTAGCCGAATTTAAGGGGGATTCTCCCTTACTGCCGAATTTTGGGGAACTTTTATACTTCCTTTGCTTGTCTTGTGCCACATGTCATTGATGACTTGTCCATTTGTGATGAGTCATATGCCACATGGAGCTTTGCAAGGACCATTTGTATGCAATGAAATTTACATGTCTACAAATGCCCCCACTTCAAGGCGCTTTGTAGGCATGTGCTTGTCACATGTAGAAAACATGTTTTGAAGTCTTGTAATGTGAATGTTCTAACTCAAGGGTCATTGAGACTTGATCTTGAATTAGCTTGTTTCTTCAAGGGCCGTTGAGGCTTGATCTTGAACGAAACATTTCTTCAAAGGCCTTTGAGGCGTATTTCTTGAATTGAGATGATGAATTTTGTGAAGGGCCGTTGAGGCGTATTTCTTGGACGAAACATTTTTTCAAGGGCCATTGGGGCTTGATCTTGAATGAAATGAAATTTTTCTTCAAGGGCCGTAGATGCTTGATCTTGAGTGAAATGAAATTTGTTTCTTCAAGGGCCATAGAGGCTTGATCTTGAAAGAAATTAAAAAAAATTCTTCAAGGGCCATAGAGGCTTGATCTTGAAAGAAATTTTGAAAATGGATAAATTGGCACATACTTATTGTGCATATTTGATTTTCCATAATCTTTGACAAAATACATTTGGCACATTTTGAATTTCTCCTTGTGGTTGTAGGAAATTTTTTTTCCTTCCTTCGATAGGAATACTCTTCAATTTTGGTAACGGGGGTGACTTCCTTCAAAGTGTTGGAAAACTTTGGTGATTTCCTTCAAGGTTTTGGAAAGATTTAATGCTTGTCATTAGGTAAGTAGGATGTGCATTTTTACTTTCCCTTTGTTTTGTCCTATTTTCCCACGGCAAGGGGGAATTTGTTTTGATTTCCCATGGCATGAAGGAGAGATTTTTTTCCTTTCTTCTTTTGATTCCATGGCAAGGAATGAGTTTTTTTTTTCTTCCTTGTTTTGGGTTTCTACAGTAAGGGGGAAGTATTTTTATTCCCCTTTTGATTCCCCATGGCAAGGAGGTATCCTGCTTTCCTTTTTTTTTTTTTTTGGGAAACATGTCATTTGACTTGCACGCCCAGTTTGAGGTCGATTTCTCTTCTGGCAAATTCTGAAAAAAAATATGGGAAATGTAGCTTTGTCTCTTGTCTTTTCAGGATATATCGCATGCCACTAGGAAAAATCGGGAAAGCCTTCAACTTTGCATTTTTCTACAGCTGCACAATCTTAATGGGAAAGCGATTTCTGTGAGAATGATTTTGAAAATTGGAACGTTTGGCTTTAGGGAAAATTATGAAATTTGGACACAATGATCCTCAGCCACTTAGCTTCCTTCTCTAATTGGTCTTGCATCAAAACACTTTTGGAAAGTTAAATTATCACCAAAAACGTCTTGCCTACGTAAATTGGCTGAAACTTGCCATTTTTCTTGGAATTTGCTTCCTTCTTTTGGTGGGAATGTACTTCCTTAGTTTATTTATTTATTTTTCTTTTTCTATTTGGGTATGCATTTCCCTTATAGCATTAGGAAGCAATTGACCCCTATATATAGGAAGACGGGTGTGTTTGATCTTGTTGAGGGCGTTACATTCCCTTTAATTATTGTGGGCTTAGCAGGCTCATCGTCTTTTTCGCTTAAAGATGGCACGGCTTCCCTTTCTTGCTTTCTAGGCACGCCTTGCCACTCTTTTTTTTTGGGTGCAGCTTTGCTTGTGGACTTGATCTCTTTTGGAAGAGCTTCAAGCACTGTATCTTTATCCATGTAGAACTAGGCGTCCGTGAAGTGTGATTCTGCTTTGGTGAATGGCTTGGTGTCTCCTTGTATCACCTTTACTCCTTCTCGGTTGTATTTTAAGCATTGGTGGAGGGTGGATGACACCACTCCATTCTCATGGATCTAAGGCTTTCCCAAGAGCAAACTATAGGAAGTTCTCACTTCAATCACATGGAATATTGTGCTTGACTTGAGTTCGCTAATGGTCATCTCGATGCGGACCATGCCCATCGCTCTTTGTCCTCCTTGGTTGAAACCTTGGATTAGCAGACGACTTTGGGTCAATTTACCCACCTTGATGCCAATTGTAGTAGTTGTTGACTTTGGCATGATGTTTATTGCTGAACCACCATCCACAAGCATGTGGTTGACTTTGTGCTCTTTCACATACCAGAGATGAAAAGAGGGTGGTTGTGAGGCTTTGACCTTAGCAGCAAGTCTTCGTCAGTGAAGGTGATTGCGTCATGGGTGGCACAACATGTGGCATATTCATGTGGCCGAAGCTGCAGGCCTTTGTCCTTGTTTTCTTGCACTTCGTGGTCATCGGGACTCGCCAAGACCGTTATTAGTGCTCTTCGCATCTTTTTGGGTAATCGTAGCGCTTCCTCGATGTTAATGTATGACGCCAGACTTTCTTCCGGCGTGTGAGTTTTCTTTTCCTCGATGGCTATAACTTTGCCCTTTGAGGGCTCTTCTATCTCTACTTTAACCATGTGACAGGCAACGGTAATGCACTGTTGGAAGAAATCCTTTGGGAAATACTTGTGCAAGGAGACGGGAACGCGTGACTTTTGCTCTATAGGTTCCCCAGTGTACATCGGGTTAGCAGCTCTTACGTTTTTCTTGGGCTTTTTATTGTTGCGGCGTTGATTAGAATTTGTGGGTTACAATCTCTGTTTACAACTTTTCCTCTGATTAAGTTTTCAAATTTGATGTAGATGCATGATTGTTGATCCAAGGGTTGCGATGACTTGATCTCGGACAAACAATTGAACGATTGCTTCAATTTTTAAGCTTGAAAATAATGCGTGGATGATCTTCACCTCAAAGGGTGCGGCAAAGGTAGTGTTTGATGCAGGATTTCGTTGCTTGAAGAGTCTTGGCGACTTGATCTTCAAATGAACATTGCTATAAGTTTATAAGCTTGCAACAAGGTCTTGAAGGAATTGGCACGAGCGCTTGTTGATTCTTCAAGGAAGTGCTTCGGCTTTGGTCAAGAGAAAGCTTTAGCTTTGGTTGAATGTTCTTTGAATAGAGCTTTGGCAGCGTATTAGTTATAAACATAACTGGCAGAAGTATTTGTTATAACTTGCACAATATTCTCAACACCAACCTCCAAGACAAAAGACTTAATCAGCTTAACTCAAACAAGAAAGATCATCCCCAACCAGGTCAGCTAAAAGGCCATAGGCCAAAACATAGCCCGTTTGGCACATTCTTCATATTCTTTACATTCTTTAAACTCATATCCAAAAAATTATTATTATTATTCTTCACATTCTTCATTTTATTTCAATTCTTTTCATTCTTTAAACTCATATCCGAAAAATTATTATTATTATTATTATTATTATGTTTTTCAAAACGGGCTATGTTTTGACCTATGACCTTTGGCTAACCCAATTGGAGATGGCCTAAGTAGCATCGTCTTCATGACCTAATACATCAACTGACTTCAGAAAGAGAGTTCCCTTCGGATATGTAAATGTTGACTACAAGGGCCTTATCTTTTATTGTCAAACGATATTTTATTAAATTAGATGTTAAATTAGCCACCGATGAGGTTCAAACTCACACTGTCATGCAAGGGCTTAACTCCTTTTCACCACTGTGGTAAAGAGCCATTTGCGCAAGTGCCTTATCCACGTTTAGGTTCATGGGAGTTTTCTGTTTCTTGGGAGTGCTTATTATGTTTAAAATTTGATCTCGCACATCAGTCAAAACTTCTGTGCAGAGAGCTATATCTTTGTTTTTAATTTGAGCTAATTGTGAAACTTTATCCGGTATACGCCTCCACTGAACTCCCATTGAGAATAATTACACCAAACCTTCTGTTTTGTTGCATCAACCAGGACAAAGTGTTCCCCCAACACGCATCTCTTTCTCGACCAGAATCCACCTAAAATCATTGGTTCCAAGTGACCATTATGTTAATCCAAACAGCAACCGAACTTGGAAACAAGTATTCAAAAGTTCAGTTACTAAATTAATGGAAGTATAACTTTACCCCTTAAAAATGAATTTTGTTTACCTAAAACCTAACATAGTCTTTTTCTCTAAATAAAACTCACTGATTAGACTTCACATAAGCAAAATCATTAATTAA